TTTATGGTACTCTACTGGCAGGAAGAAAGGGGCACAGAACTGCGGTCTTATCCACTAGATCAGGCTCTGAGATGTTGGACTCTTCATTTAGGGAGACTTTGCCAGCTGTCCTTCTACGTGCAAATGACCAGTGGCTTTTCCTCTCACGTATTTCCCCTTCTCACAATACTGCAGATGTCTCTAGGGTGAGCCAACTATTAGAAATAGCCACTATCAAGTCACGAGAACGGACAGAGTGTGATGTTGGTGAAGGCATCTTAGATAGGGACAGTATAGACTCACTGGGATGCAGCCGAGCTTTGGATCCTTCCACATAATCAGACCTTCAGCTTTGTTACCAACCGTGCAGGAAATCATGAAAAGAATATTCATGCATGTAACCATTTTCCACAACATCAAATTGTTATTAACTTTGAGAGTAAAAACATTTGCCTCTGCATTTCTTAGTGCTCAATTTATACCTCCTTTAAAAGAACAGAGTTACTACTAGGAAAGAAAAATTTAAGGATTCAAAATTCAGAATTTAAATCCCACTGTTTGGCTGGGAAGCATGTACCCACAACGGTTTCTCTTTATTCCTGCGAACTGCACGCTCTAATACAGGCCTCTACGGTGGAACTTGAAAACATGTACTCCTAATCATCAGGTAAATATATACTTTAAAAATGACAATTTTTTTCTTTGCTTCCTAGTCAATTTTTGGAGTACACTTAAAAAAAAAAAAAGGATTGTTATTAGAGATTCTTTTTTTCTTTTTAAAGATTAGCACCTGAGCTAACAACTGTTGTCAATATTCTTTCTTTTTTTCTTCCCAAAGCTCCCCAGTACATAGTTGTATGTTCTAGTTGTGATGTGTCTCTGTGATATGTCGGACGCTGCCTCAGCGTGGCCTGATGAGCGGTGCCGCGTCCCTGTTCAGGATCCGAACCAGTGAAAGCCTGGGCCGCTGAAGTGGAGTGTGTGAACTTAACCACTCGGCCACGTGGCCAGCCCCATTCTTGGAGTTTTTGAAGTTACAAGGAATAATCCTTTAAAAAAGGAACAATTCTAAAAGACAGCAGTTTCCCACTGCAGCATATAAGTTAGGAGTGGAGACATCCAGGCACTAACTGACACCTTTCAAAGTTAAGGATTCTAAAAAGACTGACAGAATGACAACTGCTAGTTGAAAGTTACATAGCTGCTGTTATACATATCAGCGTAAGCGTAGATGTGTATCACACGATGTCGAAATAGGAAAACCGACCACTTTGTCTTAACAGAAAAATGATTCCTAGAAAAGAAAGAGAAAATCCTAACACGTGCATTATAACATCAATATTCAACTCATTTTCTTCCCAGGCTATCTGGATTAGGTTTTAAAACTTAGTAGGCCAGATGAGGCTTAGAATACGCTCTATTGCTGCAAGAGATACCACAAAGGACAAGGAGGGTTTTAAAGGAAAAGATGATAGAAACCGAGTATGACAGTTTCTTTCCAGTTTGGGGGTAAGGTCTCCCTGTTGGATGCTTAGGGTTGGGCATGGTGGGTGGGGAAATAGGGACACTGACTCGCAGGAGTTTGCATGCCATTATCTCTCTTCAGCACCTTTGTGCTTTTTTCGCACCTTTTCCTTATGATTTCCCTAAGGCGGTGATAAGTTCGAGGCAGCCCATCTTTGGCATCTCTTAAGCATCAAGGCTAAAAGCAGAAACACCCACAGGAGCAGGCAGGCGACAGCAGACATGAATGAAGCAGAAAGCGGTGACCTGGAGGGTTCAGGCTTCTCCCCTTTGGCCTAGAAGCACTAGGAGGAAATGGAGCCAAGCGGTGCCAAAGCTAGTGATTTCTCAAAATCAAATCAAAGTTAGTGATTTTTCAAAAGAATCTGGGTATTTTAGTGAAACTGCTTGATCTTTAAATGTTAGCTTATTTAGAAAATATTCTGGGTTCACCAAAATGCTTTTCCTCTGGCTTGCATTCCACTGGCAGGGCATCCACTTGACTGTGACAGAGGCTGTGGGGCTGCTGGTGGGCCAGTTCCATGGTGTGTTTCAGGACCGATTTCCTGACGCCCAGCCTGAGCACACTCTCCCAGCCTTTTCAGAGACTTCGTAAGCACCCAATTCCCCACACCATATCCCTTTCTGCTTAAGATGGAGTGGTTTCTTGTTCTTGCTACTGAACCCAGACTGATAGCTAAATGTGATATTAAACTGCAACGTGGAGATACAATGCCAGAGAAGATTTATTTCAAACAATTCACTTCAAAAAAAGACAAGGAAAAATATCATAAATAATCTTGACATTTTTCCCATCCAAATACATATATGATAACCAGTATCGGTATAAATAAAAGTATCAAGAATTCTACCACAGCCCTGGAGTGTGTAGAGGTGGGGTACACAGAGGTAGCTCCCAAGCTGGCCAGGAAGGATTAGGCGTCAGTGGGAGGCAGTGCCAGACTCTGGGGGAAGCTCACGAATATCCAAGAGTTGAATACTTCTGGCCAAGAGACTGGATACTTAACCACAAACTCTATCACCACAATAGCAAACCAAAAAAAAAACAACTTTTATTTGTGTGATGAAAATTCTAGTAAATAATTTGATAGCATATTCAATTATATGCCCTTAATAATGAGAACAGTAGCAAATGGTAAGAAACCACCATGGCTTCACATGAGAATTGTTTTGACCTTGCAAAGACCTTCTTGAGACTTCCCAGCCATCTTTGGAGCTGCTATTTATATTTGAGAGCAAAAGAATGGTGTTCAGGGAGCCAGCCCTGTGGCCTAGTGGTTAAGCTTGGCGCACTCCACTTGGCAACCCAGGTTTGGATCCCTGGTGTGGACCTACACCACTTGTTGGCAGCCATGCTGTGGTGGTGACTCACATCCAAAATAGAGGAAGATTGGCACAGATGTTAGCTCAGGGCAAATCTTCATCAAGCAAAAAAAAGAGGAAGATTGGCAACAGATGTTAGCTCAGGGCAAATCTTCCTCAGCAAAAAAAAAAAAAAAAAAAAAGCTGTACCATACAGATAGGAAAAACTGTTGCTTGGCTAATTTACGTAACAAATTTGAACACTCTAGGAACACAGTAATGTTAGGTATAAGTCACTTTAAATTTTTCTAATCCAAGGAAGATAACCAAATTACTTTTACAGTTCACGTGAGTTGAATAATTTATAATGGAGCCTTATTTGTTGGTCCTTGCAGCAGAGCTATCCACAAAAGTTCAGTTAAGATCTGTGGCTCACCTTGGCATTTGTTCCACTTCCCCAGACCTGGGCTGGCAGCCTCACCTGCTACCACCTAACCTGTACCTAGCCGAGCGAGAAGGGAACAGCAACAAAAAAAGCGTTTCTACAGAAGCTCCAACTACCAAACCTTAACTTGCCAAAAGGCCGAGCTAGAGTTTACAACTAGGCAGATAGTAAAACTGAATCTACCATCTGGAGTCCACTTTCTGGAAGTGAACCAAGCTGCTAGCCTGGAGGTGGGAATGACTGACTATCAGAAGCACTCTACCTGCACAAATTTGAACTTGACTCCCGAGAGCTAGATTTCAACAAGAACTAGTTCAACATTTAACAGAGAATTATTAAGAATGTATGCATAATCGTCCCCATCCTAGAATTGAGGCTACTTACAAAATTGTATATATAAAAATGGAAAAAATAAAACAGCTAATTCCACCATGTTGTGATCTCTTTGTAGGGATATTATTTTCTATTATTAGAACTGACGTTTAAGGACATTTTGTTTAAAAAGGAGAAATATTGGGGCTGGCCCAGTGGTGCAGCAGTTAAGTTTTTTGCACTCCACTTCAGCAGCCTGGGGTTTGCCGGTTCGGATCCCAGGCGTGGACCTACGCACCTCTTAACAAGCCATTCTGTGGCAGGTGTCCCACATACAAAATAGAGGAAGATGGGCACAGATGTTAGCTCAGGGCAAATCTTCCTCAGCAAAAAAGAAGAGGATTGGTGGCAGATGTTAGCTCTGCGCTAATCGTCCTCAAAAGAAAAGGAGAAGCATCTAATAACAAATTAACTTTCTATCTATGAAATTTCAGTAACCCATCTCAATACTCAAATTCACATTAAACGTTTGAGAGTCACTATATTAGTTTCCTATGGCTATTCTTTACAAATTATCATAAACTTAGTGGTTTAGGACAACACAAATTTATCTTACAGCTCCGGCTGTCAGAAGTCGTAAAATTCAAGGTGTTGGGAGAGCTGTATTCCTTTGCGGAGGCTCTCAGGCAGAATCCATTTCCTTGCCTTTTTTTGGCTTCTAGAGTCTGCCTATATTCCTTGGCTCATGGCCCCTTCCTCCACCTTCAAAGACATCAGCTTAGCATCTTCAAACATTTCTCTCTCCCTGACTTGTGCTTCTGGCATCTCATCTCTTCTCTGACTCAAGTCTTGCTCTCTTCCTCTGAGAAGGACCGTGTGATTACATGGGGCTATCTGGATAATTCAGGCTACTCTTCCCATCTCAGGATCTTTAACTTAATCACATTGGCAAAGTCCCTTTTGCTCTACAAGGCAACATAGTCACAGGTTCCAGGCATCAGGACATGGACAACTTTGGGGGGCTGTTATTCTGTCTACAGCAGCGACTAAGCCCGCTCATACAAAAAGAACATGCAAATATCTTTGCAGCTACGTGTGCGATATTAACCAAGAGTGCTTGCTTAAAAGAATCCATTCATTAAGAGATTATTAAAACAAATGCGATGAAAGATTTGTCTTCTTCCAGAGAAGCAAGTATATAATTTCTACAGGACATAACGATTAACTGTAAAGAAAAGTCAGGAGAGTTTTCCCTCAGATGTACTTCTTGCCATAATGAAAATCAACATGTTCTTTCTTTCTCTTACTTACAGGGCAGGTGATGGTCAGATCCAGGTTGTTAGGGACAACACGATCTCATTCAGAGACACTGGTCTAGCTAGTTGTGATGCTGATGTGCTAATAGCCACATTGGTAGTTGGATCACGCGAAGTATTACCTGTTTGAATAAAGCGTAGTCCTGTCGTGTGGATAATGTTCATTAACATATAAGGAAGAAGATGAAATTGTGGTTGCCAAGGAAGCAGCTTCAAAGAGTGATGCAGTGCTAGGCACCAGGTCCGGCCTGTGTCGGGATCCCAGTGCTGGGGAACGAAAGCAAAACACACTCGTGAATCTCAGTAATAAATGCTGCTTTCGTATCTGTAATAATTTAAATGAGTCAAAAGCATTCATTTTACATATCAGGCTGAAAATCAAATTAGGAACCAACTGTGTTCTTCTGAACTGCAGCAGAAATGCAAAAGAGCTTCTTGCAAACAGGTTAGACAGAAACGAAACTGCATTAATTTACAAAATGGCTTATGGAAACGACATTATGAATGTTTTTTTAAAACCCTAATAAAGTGATTTACTCTTTCAGAAGATGACATAAAAGCTCCTAGAAGCTTAAGGAGATAATTCGACAGAGATTAAAAGGATGATTGGCAAGCGTATAAACAGACAGGGAACCTGTTTCTCCTCCCGAGGACACGCACGTATCTATGATTCTCAATTCGCATCTAAGAACGTAGACTTTTTAAGAGCCAGGAGACAAACGTTCCACCAACCAACAGCCAGCTATACCTTAACCCCGCTGGAGCCCACACATATCTCTGAATGTTAGCCACAGCCCTTCTTGACATTATATCTTAACAGCAAGTCTGCCTTTTTAAAAATGAGAAAACTCTTATTTCTTCTTAAAATGCCCACGAAAATACTTATGCGGTAGCTCTCTCTCATCAGGAAAGCGGAATATTCAAGGCTGAGCGGGCACCCACGCCCACTCTCTCTGAGTCTATGGGGATTCTTTTTTTTTTTTTTTTTTAAGAGTTGAATCTGGATCATTTTTAATCATGCTACCCTAAACTTTGAACAAATTTATATCCATTATTGGCCAGCCCGTTAGAGATAATGTTTTAATTAAAAGTCCAATTGCACAGAATAAAGCTTCTTTAAAAAGAGACACGCGGTTCCCTAGAGAGAGGACACTGTGGCTATAACAGGTGTGGGCGAATCCTTTCTTTAAAGTTCTGTAGTTGGGCACATGCTGATTTTTTCTTCTTTTTTCTTTTTTTCTTTACCTAGCGAGATCTTTTATTTGTTTAAATTTTTATTGATGTATAACATTTCAATTGACGTGTAACACTGTATTCATTTTAGGTGTACAACACAATGATTGGATATACATACGTACTGCGAAATGATCACCACACATAGTTACATTTTTTTTTCTTGTTATGAGAACTTTTAAGATCTACTCTCTTAGCAACTTTCAACTATACAATACAACATTGTTACCTACAGCTACCATGCTGTACTGGGGATTCTTTTTCATCATTCCCCGAAACCAAACTAAAACAGATGATGATAAATACAATATAACCTTAGGTCTTTCTGGTATTCCTTTACAGACACAACGGGCTCAAAAATCACGTTTTCAGGAAGTGTGTGAATGGAAAATGATCCTAACAGGCACTATCATGTGCGTTTGAGGGTTTGGATTTCAGATTTGGAGGGGGATAGATGGGGATGTGGAGCGAGGCAGAGAGGGAAAAGAGGGCCACACAGGAGGGCTGGACTCCGGACTAGGAGATGGGACACACACTAAAATGTATGAGATGGTGCAGCTTTGCCTCGATTCACATCAAACAAAGAACCGCCGTGATGAATAACTGAGGATAATCATACAAAAGCATGAGTAACAGAAGTGCCCAACATGCAAAGATTAGAAAGGCTTCAATTTAATAGGACGGCTGGCTAGAAATCTTCAACATACTTGAACAGATCTATCTTTCCCACTTTCTCATTAAATACAGAGAAACATATGAAAACTCTCAATAACACTGAAAACTGGGTCTGAAAAATAATCTCACATCACATTTTAATGACTTGCCGCGAAATGTAAGGCTGATGGAGCTAGACTTGGAATAACTAATACAGACTCAGGCCTTGGGCATCCCCAGCTTGACTTTATAAACCAGAGGCTACCTGAGTGATACGAAAGAGAAAAACGGTGACTGTGCAATGACTGGGCCGGGTCATACATCACCCAAACGCTGGACGGCTGACCCCTCAACCCCCTAGGAGCAGCTCTTTGAAACACAGAACCGTTTCCTCATGCTCCTATATCCTTCAGTTTTTTAAAAACTAGTGTGGTAGGGAGAATTCCAGGATGATCCTCAATGACCTGCACCCTTGTAAAATCTCCCTTTGAGTGCGGGTAGAACCTGTGAATACGATGAGATACTACTCTTGTGATTATTTTATGTTATACAGCAAAAGGAATTTCGCAGATGTAATTAAGGTTACTAATCAGTTAACTCTGAGTTAGTCAAAGGGGAGATTATTCAGGTGGGCCTAGCCTAATCACATGAGCCCTTTAAATCTGAGTCTAGAGGTCAGAGATGGTGACGTCAGAGATTTGAAGTGTGAAGGGGCTTCACTTGTGAGAAATTCTCCGTTTGGAGATGGAGGGGCTGGATGGGCCCTAGGGACTGAGCGTAGCCCACAGCTGTCAGACAGCACAGAGACAGGTCCTCACCCCACAACTGCAAAGAAGTAAGTTCTGCCAACACCACCATGAGCTTGGTGATTCCTCTCTGCACCTCCAGATGAGAACCCAGCCGAGACCTTGAGCCCAGTTTTTGAGACCCCCATAAACTGTGGCTGGGGAACCAGGCAAGCCTTGCCAGTTTTCTCACTTACAGAACCGTGAGCTAATAAATGGAGCTGCTCACTTTCTGGTAATCTGTCACATGGCAATAGAAAACGAACACAACCCAGACATACTGAGAAGGACAGAAAACAAATGACTAAAAACTAGAGGGAAATGTGGTGACGACTTGGTGTACTACGAAAAGGGAAGTCCCCAAGTCCAGAGCATTATGAAAAGGCCGAAGCTTGTAGGAAACTTCGTAGATGCAGTGAATTTTCAAGATAAACTCATTTTTAAAAAGTATTTAACATTTTCAAAGAATATGCTCAGTAGGTTTTCCTTCAATCTTGAGAGACTAGGTGAAGTACCTTTATATTTGAAGCAATGGGCCCAACGGTTCCTCTCAAAAAAAGCACAATATGTGTACTACCTTCCATGTTTCCAGGATTTCTGGATGCTACGTAGTATTTAGTATAATTTTTCCCCCCAGGTTAACAAGTGGACTCACTGCTTTAACTTTAGGAGTCATATCGAGCATGCTATTTGAAAGTCTAACTAACAGTCTGGAAATGAGTTTATCCGATTTTCCGACAGCAGACACCTTGCAGTTTTATGTCTGCTATAAGAAGACCAGGCAGGGTGGCAGGAGAGATGCCAATGCTCAGGGAAAGAGGGTGGATGCCTGCCAGGAACTGGAGCCATCAACTCAGAGAGAGGAGGAAGGGCAATTCATTAAGTCTTGTGGAAATCACTAAATTTGGATAAAAGTTGGTTTACAAAATGGGACTTCATCAGACTAACGAGTTTCTTCAAGGCAAGGGAAAACAGGATTGAAACAAAAAAACAGCCCACTAATTGGGAAAAAATATTTACAAGCTACTTATCCGACAAAGGATTAATCTCCATAATATACAAAGAACTCACACAGCTTAACAACAAAAAAACAAACAACCCGATCAAAAAATGGGCAGAGGACATGAAGAGACATTTCTCCAAAGAAGATAAGTATGGCCAATAGACACATGAAAAGATGCTCATCATCACTAATCATCAGGGAAATGCAAATCAAAGCTACACTAAGATATCACCTTACACCCGTTAGATTGGCAAAAATATCCAAAACCAAAAGTGGAAAATGTTGGAGAGGTTGTGGAGAAAAAGGAACCCTCACACACTGTTGGTGGGAATGCAAACTAGTGCAGCCACTATGGAAAACAGTATGGAGATTCCTCAAAAAGTTAAAAATAGAAATATCCTATGACCCAGCTATCCCACTACTGGGTATCCATCCTAAGAACCTGAAATCAGCAATCCCAAGAGTCCCATGCACCCCTATGTTCATCGCAGCATTATTTACAATAGCCAAGACGTGGAACCAACCTACATGCCCAGAAACTGACGACTAGATAAAGAAGATATGGTATATATACACAATGGAATACTACTCAGCCATAAAAAAGGACCAAATTGTTCCATTCGCATCAACATGGATGGACCTTGAGGGTATTATGTTAAGCGAAATAAGCCAGACAGAGAAAGACGAACTCTATATGACCCCACTTATAGGTGGAAGTTAACATATAGACAAGGAGAACCGATCGGTGGTTACCAGGGAAAAGGGGGGGTGGGGGGAGGGCACAAAGGGGGAAGTGGTATACCCACAACATTACTAACAATAATATACAACTGAAATCTCACAAGGTTGTAATCTATCATAATCTTAATAAAAAAAATTAATTTTCTGTTGTTGAGTTGTAGGAGTTCTTTACATATTCCCTGTATCAATCCCTTATCAGATGTATATTTTGCAAATATTTTTCCATCTGTGGGTTGCTGATTCACTCTGCTGATAAAATTCTTAGATGCACAGGAATTTTCTATTTTGATGAAGTCCAGTTTATCTATATTTTTATTGTTTTACATGCTTTGGCGTCATAGTCAATAAAGCACAGCTAAATCCAGAAAAAAAAAAAAAAGGTGGTTTACAGGAAGATGAGAAAGAAAGAAACCCAACATGGAACAGATGGATAAGTGATGCAGAAGTGAACAGAAATAACACCTAATTCCACCAACTCAGGAAAAGAAAACTCCGAGAAGAGACCTAATCTTCCATAGGAAGGAGAAGAAATTTTCAGGAAATGTTGGGATTCCCAAAAGATTATACCAATAAAAAAATCTAAAATGTCACTTTCTTTCTATAGGATTAGAAGAGAAAAACCATATGATCAACTCAATAGAGAAAAGTATTTGATAAAATTCAGCACTCATACTTGATAAAAACTTTTAGCCAACCAGGCATAAAAAGGAGCTTTCTTGACTTGATTATGGGTATCGAATACAGCAAACTTCTTTGTCAACAGCAAATATTAGAAACATCCCCTTTAAAATAAGGACAAGGCAAGGCTGTCACCTCTTCTAGTCATCGCTGTACCAGAAGTCCTAGCCAGCAAGTAAGAAAAAAGAAAAAAAAAAAAAGCTGTGAGGGCTATGCAGTAGCAACAGCCAGCCAGAAAATCCAGATCTTAAAAAGATACTATTTGAAAAGACAGAAAATATATATCTATATCTCTATGTTCATCTGAGGAAAAAATCTAACAAAAGGTAGGTATATATGACATGCAAGGAGAAAATTATAAAACCTTTATTAAATTCACTAAAGAGAACCTAAATAAATTGATAATTCATTGTTACATTGTGTGTGCATGCATGTATAAGTATGTGCATATATGTACAGATGTTTGAAATATATATATATATATATATATACAGATATACATGCACAGAATAAACTCTAGCAGTAAAAACACCAAAATGTTCAGATTTGTTACCTTTCAGTAGTGGGAAGATAGATGCTTGTTTTTGAATATTTTTAGCATCTTCTAATTTTATTTTTTTTTACCATGAATCATATATTGCATTGTTTACCTGTTTTAAAAACTTTACATTAACTGTGTCATACTGTAAATATCCTTTTAAAAATTAACAGAGATGGTTTCTTAGAGCAGGTAGTTTTCTAATTTTTCTACTACAAGTTTACCTCACTTGTGTAAATAAAATCACAGAACTTTTTGTTTTTTTTTAAAGTTACATGTCCTTACCTTCTTCATCAAGGCTGCTAAAACTCTGCCCTTCGGTCAGCAAATCGTGCTTCTCCTCCTTCCATTCCTGGCTGATGGAGGACACGATCTCCTGTGAAGTGGCCTTCAGGGCGGCGATGGAATTGCAACGCTTCTTTGAAGGCGAGGCCTTCAAAGCTAGATAGGAAGGAAAAAGGAGAGACGAAGACACATATTGTAAAACCACATTAACATTTTATTTATTAAGATTTTATTTATTACTTATTAAAATTTTAGTCATTATTTGAGTAGAATGCAAGAAGCTTTGTTTTATAGACATGAGGAAAGGGAGACGAAATTGTGCGTTGGCGATTTTATCAGTCCAGAATGACTTGACTTAAATCAGAATATTCTAGAATAAATTTGAGCTGAAATGCCTCTCCAGATTTTGAAGTCAAGTCTGATCTGAGGCGCGATTCAAATGTTTTGTTGCTGAAGAAGGATTTTTCCTCCTCCAAGCCATGCTTTTCCGGCGCTGGGAGGAGGTCGGGTGGGTTGGTCAACGCAGATGGTAAAGTACGGAGAATTCTCATGACCCTAGTTTTATTAACTTGGGACTGGGAATTTCTAAACATGCCCGTGTTTAATCTTATACTCATGTTGCCCAATTTAGCCAAGCAACTTCTGCTTGCTTTTTTCTTTCAGTGACTTTCCACTGAAATTTCCTGTCCTTTGGGTCTTTTCTAGGTCATGGTTACGTCAGACGTATAATTCACTCCCGATCTTTGTCCAAACAGCATTCTACAACTTCAGATGTGTGCTGGGAATCTGAACCACGGCAAGTGTACTTCACCATCAATCATGCTCACTGGATGCTGTGACTTTACTTAGGACACGGCAGTGGGAGCTGCTTTGGCTGCAGCTGGACCATCCCTATTGATATTCTCTCTTGGCTGCAGTCATTCTTCTTGGCTTAACACTGTTAGAGAATTTCCCTGGAAAGCAGGGTGAGAGGGAAGTGGAGGCTTGTTTGTGCTTCCCCCTGAACTTGATTTTGGCAGTGTCTCTTCTCCTTGGGAGGTTTGTGTAAGGGGGTAAGCTGACAGCAGATGCGTTCGAGTAATTGTATTTGGCTTTGGGAACCTCAGAGCTTAGATTGCACTGCTCATCTGGGGCCTTCCCAGAGGCAGCTTGCAAGAACTTAATTGGAGAAGGACTTTGGGACACACAAATGAGGGAAGAGAGGAGGGCAGTCTCTCCACTTAAAAAGAAGGGAAGAATTGTGTGTCCCATGAGTGGTCTTATAATGGTACCTTCATCATCATAAATAACTTTTGCAGAGGGCTTTAGAGTTTGGAAGCTAACATCCCCACTCCATATCTCAAATTATCCACACGGTCATCTGAGGGAGGCAGGCCCCTTTTATAAGTCCAGAAACGGAGAGTTGAAAGTTGTGACCCGCTGAAGGTCAGAGAGCTAGAAAGCATGAAACCCCAGGTGTCTTTCATTTTCTCTTAAGTTGTCTAACCGATGGTTCATTCCCTAGCTCTTAGGCATTCTGTTTTCTGGTTAAAGTGTGTGTGTGTGTGGGGGGGGGGGGCGAGGTAAAATTAGAGTTTTTCTTTGAGAGGAGGATATTTTGAATGTTTAAAAAATGGCTTAAATTGATTTAAATAAGTGAACCAAATAAGTCATGTTCCCCTTAACTCCCATCCTATCAAACAGTGGTCGCACCTACTCTACAGGTTTGAAGTAATTGGGCACACGCTGACTTCAGCTCTAACAGTCTATCTGCTAACTTCTATAAACCCCACTCCCATCTTTTAATACAGTATTTTAAAACTTTTAACTCAGAGGATCTCAAATGTGGTTCAGGGACCACTAGGGGTCCCTGAGACACTCTTAGAAGGTCAGCGAGGTTAAAACTATTTTTATAATAACATTAATACATTATGTGCCTTTTCCATTCTCATTCTCTCATGAGTATAGAGTTTTCTGGATCCTACATGACCTGTGACAGCAGCACAGATTGAATTCAGAAGCAGATATAAGAATCTAGATGTTGAGATTTAGGGATAAGCCAGAATTAGGGATCTGAAAAAATATAAAATAATGCCACTTTTGTCACTGAATTATTTATTTTGGAAAGTATAATTATTTTTAATAATTACTTTTTATGTTAAAGTTTTTTACTTTATGTTAAAGTTGACTTATGTTAACATGCAATGGTTTTTAAATTCTTACTTTGTAAGAATTAATGAATATTTTAAAATTTTCTCAATTTTAAATTCTAGAATGTTAAATATAGATATATAGAACCCACATCTACAAAAGCTCTGGGGGTGTCCGGTCACTTTTAAGAGTATAAAGTGGCCCCGAGACCAAAAGGTTTGAGAATTGGACAGTTCTTAGGTCAACGCTAATTCTCTAAACTGAGAAACAGCTAGGATCAAAGAATGCTGCCAGCACCAAAAAACGTAGATGAGGAAAGACACTCAGAGAACTGTCTGTACTTATGGCTTATATAATGGAGCCAAAGCCAAGAGCCCAGAAAAAGGAACAGCTTCTTTGTTCATTATCAGCATCACATACAACAAGGAGCAGAGAGGACCTGACAGGACCACAGAGCACCTAAGAAAGCATTTACAGTTGCCCCTCAGTATCCAGAGGGGATTGGTTCCAGGACCCCCTGCAGATACCAAAATTGCTGGACGCTCAAGTCCCTTATATAAAATGCTGTAATATTTGCATATAACCTATGCACATCATACTTAGATTACTTATAGTGCCTGATACAATGTAGATGCTATGTAAATAGTTGCTATATTGTACTGTTTAGGGACTCATAACAAGAAAATAATCTGTACATGTTCTGTACAGATGCAACCATGGGAGGCCTTTCCATCCATGGTTGACTGAATCCGCGCATACAGAGGGCCAATTGTACTTCTGTCTTAAACGGTGAATCTTCCTTAAAGGAATTATCTGAGTCTCACTCAGGAGATAAGGACTTGAATATTGCAGAAATTGAATGCCTCAGGGACTTGTTTTGACTGATATCTCAAAAGATGGGTTGGGTTGCGGGTTACCTTCTTTTATGCCACAGAAACTCCTGGATTTGTCGTTGGCAAAACCATGTCTGGCGGTAGGTATACTGTGTTCATTTCCAGCCCTATGTACTGCCACTCAACTGCCTCTAAGACCTTACCGCTTTTCAGCTCACCTATCTGCCATTCCCTGAACGTACCATGTTCATTCCTACCCCTGGGCCTTTGTACATGCTGTTCCTTCTACTTGAGATGCCCTTCTTCCTCCTTTCCTAATAAATGCTGGTTTATATTTTCAGAACTTAGTTTAAATATTCTTCCGTGAAGCTCTCTTTTGGAAGAATTGGTCAAATCTGTTACATGTTCCAATCCCTGACCCAAAACAGACTATGAAATTACTGAGAAAGAATGAATTAATTTTTTTTTTTAAAAAAGCTTTCTATATTATGAATGCTTAGCATAGCTCTAGGTACATAATAGCTGCTCAAATGTTGGTTGAATGACTGTATTACTGTTCTGAAATCTTAGGACAGTTGATTTTTAACAAATTAATGTACTATTATATTCCTTTTGGGAAACCAAGTTTTAGTACTTGAGACACATTATCTGGGTAGAGAATTTCAGTGAGGTTTCAACATCATGGTGACTAATATGTATAGGATTTTGTAGACATTATTACACTGGCACCATGACTCAATTTTACGGCGGGATGAATGGATTCAACATGGTTAAAAAAGCTCATTTGAAAAAAGAAACTTGAAGACCAGCTTCAGTCTCCTTCGGAGTGAGCGTAGGGAGAGAGATTTTTACCTACAAAGAAAGTATTCCTTTAGGCATTAAGGGCTTTAAATTGATCAGAGTTGATAAAGCATCTTGAAGTTGTGATTTAAAGTGTCAACTTTACTAATTAAATTGCTATCCTTTGAAACGCTGTATTAGACGAACATTTCATTCATTTGTTCAATTATTCATCAAATAATGACTGAGCGCCTACAACGTGCCAGGGAATGTGGCTAGGTGCTTGGAATAGATATGAGTGAACCAAACACAGTTGCTACTTTTAAGGAACTCAAGTGTAGTGGGGGAAACAGAAAATCGGCTCAGTTATTCACTACGGTAAGTACCATGGAGGAAGCACCATCTCAGCTTAGACCTGAAGGAAGACCTGGGGAAAGATGGAAAGAGCGTTGCAGGCAAAGGGACAAGAATATGTAGAGATGCGCAGGCAGCCTGAATGTCTAGGGCAACTGCAAGGAGTTAAGAGCTACTGGAGCCTACAGGATAGGGTATGGTGTGGAATGTGGCATGGGAGAAGTCACGGGGAAGGGAAAGAGACCACATCACAGAGAGACTTAAAAGCCAAGTTCAGGATTTTGTGGACTAGGGAATCCATGGAAGTTTTTTTTTTAAAAAAACTTTTCTTCTTTAGCATGGAAGTGTTTAACAGGAAATTAGCAGGAACAGATTTGTATCTTAAACTGATGTCTCCAGCTGCAGTGTGGGGAGACTGGACTGGATGGGGACACGATGAGAGGCAAGAGACCAGCATAGGGGTCACAACTTTAGGCAAAAAGAAACTCAAAAGCAAAATCACAAAAAACACAGTGGTTGAATTAGGAGACACACTGTGAAAGAGGGGACGGACTCCCGATATTTCAGAGTGAGAACAGGTGTTGGTGAGTGACTGCAGGTGAGTGGCAAGTAAAAGGAAGGAGTCAAAGCATGACGCCAGCATTTCTGAGGATAGTTGCATGGATGGCGGTGGCCTTCAATGAGGTGTGGACGCAAGACAAGAAGCAGGTTCTGGGATGGAGGAGCAGCCAAATTCAAATTTGAGCATGCTGAGCTTGTAAAATCTGGTGGACACTTACTTGGAGAGGCTGGATAGGCAAAAGGCTTTGTTGGCAGTGTGGGAGCGAGCTGTCAGTATGTGGACAGTAACTGAGGTCTTGGGAGATGGAGAAATCACCCAGAGAGAGTCGTCCAAGGGGAAGGCACAAAGTTGGAGCCTGGCCCCTTACGAACTCCCACATATAAGGGTAGGGCAGAGATAAGGAACTGCCAAAGGACAACGAGAAGCATGAGAGGCTGGAAGGGAACCAGGAGAGTCCTGAATTATGAAAGACAAGTGAAGAGAACATTGCACAGAGA